TCTCTCTCTCTCTCTCTCTCTCTCTCTCTCAGCTTGCTTGCTCCCTTGTGTTCTGGGCAGACCCGCCCACTCTCCCTTGGTTGTTGTTGTTGTTGTTTCCAGGCAGATAAAAATCTTTCCTTTATCCAATTTCTTAAAAAGAAAAAATAACCATCCTATTTTATGACTAAATATAACAAATGGCAAGTCCTAGCTGAGCATGTCATTTCGAGTTACAATGAGTTCAGGATACGCTCATAAATGATTAACTAGTAAAAGTACTCTGACAAATGTGAAGCCATCATTCTGTTTCCCTAAGGGGCAGGGAGATGGGAATGGAGAGGCCAATGGGAAGCGGTACAAGATGGTGGGCAGGGCAGAGACACAGCTGTGCTTTCAGCACAGGATTTGGGCCACTTTTCCCGAGCATGGCTGTCATTTCTGGCATCATCTTTTTGTTACACCCACAATGAAAGACAGTGCTAAACCTAAAGATGCAACTTTGCTAAACCTTCATTTTCAAGTTTTCATAAATCTATGCTATTCTAATGATAAAGTTTCCACGTCTCACATGTCCATAGACTAACATAATAGACTATTGAGTCTGGTTTTTGGTTTATCTCAATCTATCTATGGAAATGAACTCAAGATGGATCAAAGACCTAAACAGAACACATAGAGCTATAAGATCATCCTTGGGAAACAGGGACAGAGTTCGGGGTCCGGATACATGGCAGGAACGCACTAACAAACACAACTGAAAATCGGACCACTGGGTACATCAAAATGATTGCCCCAAGAGTCCAAAGGGAATCCACACATTCAGAAATACGTTTTGGCAATGCCATGTTGGATCATGGGCTGATCTCTAAAATTTGAAACTTGCAATACCTCAACAACAAAGACAAATGATCCCATTTAAAAATAGGTGGAGAAATGGACAGTTCACCAAAGAAAACATCAGACAGCCAACAACACACATATGAAATGCATAGTGTTTGGGATCCCTCAGATATCAGAGATAGAGATGAAAACCGTGCGATACCATCTCATCTCAGCATTCATTCAAGCCTTTTTTTTTTAAGAAAGAAAACAGAAAATGCTATTGAGGGTGTAGAGACTGGAACTCTCATTTGTTGCTGGGGTGCTGGCATGGCAAAATGGTGCAACCACTGTGGAAAATGGCATGGCATGTCCTTAAAATGTTACACGTAGAAATAGCCTGCCCTCCATTCAAGCACTCCATCAATGCAAGAACACTTTGTTCAAATAACCTGGCATTCCGTGATGCTCACCTTCCCTGACATGATCACTAAAGACAAAGCGGGTGCATAAGCAAATGTGGTGAAGAAAGCTGATGGTGTCCATCTATCAAAAGATATAGCGTCTGGAGTCTTAACGGCTTGAAGATAAACAAGCGGCCATCTAGCTGAGAAGCAACAAAACCCACATGGAAGAAGCACACCATCCTGTGTGATTACGAGGTGTCAATGGGATAGGGTAACAGGCATCAAAGACCCCAAACCAAGAAAGCATATGAATGCAAATGAGGGGGAGTGCGGAGTGGAGACCCAAAGCCCATCTGTAGACAACTGGACATCCCCTCACAGACAAGGAAGGAATGAGTCAGTCAGGGTGCAGTATAGATAGCACTGATGAAACATACAACTTTCCTCTAGTTCTTCAGTGCTTCCTTCCCCCAATGTCATGACCCCAATTCTGTGTTATAAATCTGGCTAGACCAGAGCATGTACACTGGTACAGATCAGAGCTGGAAACACAGGGAATCCAGGACAGACAAATCCCTCAGGACCAATAATGAGTAGTGATACCGGGAAGGTAAGGGGAAGGTGGGGGGAGCAAGGGGGAACCGATCACCATGATCTATATATAACCTCCTCCCAGGGGAACGGACAACAGAAACGTGGGTGAAGGGAGACATTGGCTGGTGTAAGAAATGAAGACATAATCATTTATAAATTATCAAGGGTTCATGAGGGAGGGAGGGGTGGAAATGAGCTGATACCAAGGGCTCAAGTAGAAAGAACATGTTTTGAAAATGATGATGGCAACATACGTACTAGTTTGCTTGACACCATTGAGTTATGGATTGTTATAAGAGCCCCCAATAAAAAGATTTAAAAACAGAATCACCAGGCAACCCTGTTACAATGTAGATCCTGATACATGTGAGGTGGCAATGCAAAGTCCCAGCAAGGATTCGAACTGGAACGAACGGATTCAGAGCCCACCTTCTGCATGCCAGGTTCCTTCATAGATGATGCCACTCGGAAGCCAGATGTCCCCTCCATGGTCACGCGCAAGCCAGAGTTGGGGGTGCAAAGCCTCCAAAGCCTGGCATTGTGCCTGAAAAACTGCGTGGCTTTGGGGAAGTTACTTCCTTCCCTGGGCCTGGTCCCCCCTGACCTGGGGCAGTGCCACAGCACAGGGGCAGTCGTGACTGTGTGAGGAAGGCAGGAGGATGGAGCCACTCTCAGCCTGCCAGGGACACTCTCCCGAACCGGAGCGCGCACCTGTTCTGGCAGCCAGATGGCGCTGCAGCCAGTTCCACGTGTGTGTGTGTGTATGTGTGTGTGTGTGTGTCCACTACTGTCTCGGTTGGTCAGAGGGCCCTGTTGCTGACCGTGCTGCCCAGTCTTGCCCCAGAGCCAGATAACCTTCTGGGGCCACACATTCCCCAAATGGTCTCTGTCTCAAGTCTCACACAAGCTTTTGTCCAATGTCTTTGAAATTTTCTTTTTATTAAAACACCAAGCAGAAAGATAACCCTGGATGGGAAGTCTTTTCTGCAAAAAAAAAGATGATAGATGATAGATAGATAGATTTCCCCCTCTTCTTTTTTAATAAAACACGAAATCAAGGCTACAGCTTCCGTTCAGCCAGTCCCACTTGCCCATGCTGGACGGCAGCCCTGGGGCAGAGGTGACAAGTCTGGCCCACGGCTCCCTGAGAGGTCGGGAGAGAAGCGGGGAGCTCCGTGGGGTCCAAATCATGCAAAAGGAAAACAACCAAACCCACAAAGCAAAAGAAACCACCCACGGAGGTTACATGGTTTGCCTTAAAAAGTGAAACGCTGCCCTCTAGAGGTGGAAGTCCGCAACCGGGGACCACGTCTGCCAGTGTTGGGTGAAGGCCTGGGCAGTCGGGTCCCCTACAATGCTGGGCCAGCAGGGTGGGCCCACGTGTGCAAAGTCTATTTCATCGAGAGATTAAAAAATATACAACTTGGTGGCATTGGAGATTGAGCCAGGGCAGCAGCTGTCCGCACCGGCCACCAGGGACCGCAGTGTCCAGTTGGGGAGGAGTGCCCAGAGCGCCAGAAAGGAACTTCAGCTGAAATGCCATGTCCTTCTGTATCCAGGGGCTCGGGGGCTAGAGATGGGGGGGGGTTGTCCTTGGAGCAGCAAGGACAGAGGCACTGGTATTGGCAGGGGCCTCAGGGCCCAGCTGGAGGGCCCTGACAGGTGTTTGGGGCATCTGGAAGACAACTTGTTCAGAGCCAGGCCAGAACAGACCCCCAGCTCCTCCCCAGGCCAAGTGGCAGTAGCTTATAGACCAGGGTCCGCACTGCCCTAGCAGACAGGAGGCCAGGCGCTGAGGGCTGGGGGTGCAGCCATGGTGGTGTTGGGCGAGAGGGGTGTCCAAATCCCCACCCCTATGAGTCCTCTCCTAGGATCTCCTTCACGAAGGCAGCTATGTCCGTCTTCTTGGTTTTGTGCAAGGTGAAGAAAGGGTGTTCCTGGGGGGGGGGGGCACAGGAGGAGGGACATTAGCTGGGGGTAGGAGCTGGTCAGTCCCCGCTTGCTCTTCAACCCAGCATCCCCTTGCCCTGCGGACAAACACCTGCTCATCCTTCTCGGGTGTCTGGCCCTGAGCCTGTCCTGAGTGACGGGGACCAGGTTGGGGGTTCTCCTGGCACCTGCCAAACGAAGCTGCTCCGTGCTGGACCGTTCCTGCCCTTCTTTATCCTTCCAGACCCACCACAAACAGCACTGACCCCTCGCTGTAATAGGAGTTCTTCCCCCTCCTTCGGCCCCGCTGCACCTCCTGCATGCTGCAGAGCCTTGTGTGCAGCGAGAAGCCCCTGAGTGGCTAGTGCATCAATGAATGAGCAAGGGTGCCTACCTCCAGGGACAGGGACAGGCCTCCTCCTCAGAGACCCCAAAAGAGAGCAGGCAGGCGTCTGCCCCACACTCACCATCAGCTCCAAGTAGCTCATGCGCTCCGTGGGGTTCTTCCTCAGGCTAGAAGAGACAAGGGCAGGCTCAGGCTCGGGGTTCAGAGCAAGCGAATGCAGCATCCCCAGGCAGGCCAGCCCTGACTGGGCATTGCGGGGCATACCATGCTGCTGGGCTCAGAGAGGGGTGGGGGACACGTATGGGGCTCCCAAGGGCAGAGAGGAACCTGTGGTGCAAACAGAAGACCCTGGGGCCGTGTTTCCTTGTCCCTGTAACAATCTAGGGGATTACCACGGGCAACTTCTGATGGTGAAAAACCACACTTAGAATCTCAGTTTCTAGACTCCGGGCCCTCAATCTGGAGCGCGCATTCCTCATCACTGTGAGATAAGAGAGGTTCCAAAGACAGGGGGTCAGGGGGCCAGTATCCATTTGCCCGGCTCTTTTGTCCTTGGCCTGTCTTAATTTCTATTTTTCTTTTTTGTTTTTTTTAATCATTTTATTGGGGGCTCATATAACTCTTATCACAATCCATATATACATCCATTGTGTCAAGCACATTTGTACACTTGTTGCCCTCATCATTCTCAAAACATTTGCTTTCTGCTTGAGCCCTTGGTATCAGCTCATTTTTCCCCTCCCTCCCCATCTCCTCCTCCCTCATGAACCCTTGATAATTTATAAATTATTATTATTTTGTCATATTTTACACTGGCTTGTCTTAATTTCTGATGAGAAACCAAGGCTATCAATTTTCCTACAATATATGGAAATGTTTGTGTTGATATTTTGTGCTGATATTTTGTCACCCGGGTTTCACTTCTAGTCGCAATCTTATTTTATAAATGTCTACTGTATATACTCATACATAAGCCGAGTTTACCAGCACATTTTTAATGCACTTCTTGTGGTAAAATTGGGTGCCTCAACTGATATTCGGGTTGGCTTATACTCGAGTATATATGGTAACCTAAGAATTATTTATAAAAATTTCTTGTGGGTGGTGGGAAACAACGGACAGGGTAAGGCATAAAATAACAATAACATATAATTGATCACGGATTCACAAAGGTGGGACAGTGGTAGAGGGAGGGGAAAAAAAGAGGAGCTGAAACCAAGGGCTCAAGTAGAAAGAAATTATTTTGGAAATGTTTGTGGTAACATAAGTACAAGTGTGCTTAATACTATTGAATAATGAATTGTTATAAGATTTCTAAGAGCCCCCCCAATAAAATGATTAATTTAAATATATATATATAAAGTGTATTTGTAATTTCCAGGTAGCTTTTCTTCATCTACGTTTATTGTATTGTAAGCCTCTATGACTTACCTTAGGGTACGGATGTCGTCGATTAAAATAACCCTCTGGTCACAACCTCTACGTGATGCACTGTAAATTCTGGCCTCCACACCAGTCGCTATTGTCTCGTTTTGGAGAGCGTTCTCTATGCTAGATGCTATTCTAATGGACCAGATGAAGGTGCGACTAAGGCTCCACCTTAGTAGAGGGTAAGCACCTCTACTTTGCTTCCTTGGGGTAAGGTCTACGGAAAGGCAAACGCCACACCTCCATCCAGCCGTCTCAGAAGCACAGAGAAGCCCCAGGACCGTGGAGGAGGACGCACTTGTGGGGGCACAGGGGAGATCTCTGTGCAGAGTGGAGGGGCTGCGATCGGAGCACTGAGGCTGCGGCCTGCAGCCCGTGAAACAGAAGCCCAAGCCCCAGGCCAGGCCAGGGCTGAGGCTAGGAGACCAGGAGAGAGTGTCAACTCTGAGGCAGAGGGGGCAGGCTGGCTTCTGAGCCACGGCGGCGACAGGCCAAGAACCATGTGGGGGAGAGGCTGAGGACCACAGAGAGACTGGCTACTGGCTGAGGAGAGGCGTTGCTGAGGACGAATGACTGTATCCTCATTGCTGACTGATCCTGACCTGTGGTAACCTCTTAACGGCCCTAGTCAACCCTCACTAATGGTGAGCATTGCTGTGAGCTCTGGGTGGCCCCTGCAAACACACACACACACACACACACACACACACACACACACACACTTCTCAGGGTAATGTCCTTGGGAAGCCCAAACGTGCTGAGTGTTCCTAAGAAGCCTATGGACACCCAGGAAGCTGGCCCAACAACGTGCTGAACGTCAGGGAGAGCAGATGAGTCTGGTATATTTTTCAAATCACTCACGCATTTTTATTTTGGCCTTCCTCTTCTGTCCATTGTTGACAGGGTTGCTACTACACTCTCTTAAGAAGCCCTGGTGGCACTGGGGATTAGGCGTTGGACTGCTAACCCCAAGGCTGGGGGTTCAAACCCACTACCTCCCTGTGGGAAAAAGACGCTGCTGCCTGCTCCCCTCGCCTCTTGGCAGGGTTGCTATGAGTCAGAATCAACTAACTGCCAGTGGGCCTGGTTGGCTTTTGGTTTACGCATTTCTGTCTCACAGATGTCAATACTACTACATGGTTCGGAGTGTGGCGCTAAACGAGGAGCCGGGGTCCAGGTCAAGAAAGGGGGCAGGGACAGGGGCGGCTGCAGGACAAGAAACTCACCATTGCGCAGTGAAATCCATAAACTCGGGAGAGAAACGGTCCGCTGGGAGTTGGGGGGATGGCTCCTCTACCACCTGCTTCAGCTGCTGGAACGGAGTCCCCCAGGACTCGTAAGGGAATCGCAGGATCGCCATCTCTATCTGCGGAGGGACAGTGGCACCACGGTCAGCATGGCCTTGGCCACCACATGTACCCACCCGGCTCCTGAAAACAGGCTGCAGCGCATGGGGAGGACCTGCCAACCCCAGGCTGGCTTCCGGGAGCCGGACCACCGTGCAGGCCAAGGGGCTGACTTGGGCTGACTTCTCGGACGTAACAGCATCGGACCAGAGATGAGACCCAGGCTTCCAGTCCCTAGCTCCTCTGACCCACTGAATTACAAGTGCCACTTTCCCCATCGTGGGCTTTACAACCACTCCGAGGCAGAAGGGTGTTAGGTAAAGCCCCAGGCTCCTCTATCTGGAACAGTGGACAAGCTGGCACCCCTGGGCGCCTCCGGCAGGGACCAGTGGATAGAACCATCAGACACGGCGCCCACTTCTGCTAGCCACAGGCACTCCCTTCCCAATTTCTCCTGAGACAGACATAGCAACCGCCGTCTATCTGGGCTGTCATGTTGAGCATCAGAAGATGCAGGTGAAATGTCGCATGACTCTCGCAGGCATGTCTCCCCCCACTGGTCATCCAAGGGCTACTAGACAGGAAAGCACATCTGACAGGAGAGGTCTACCTGGGCCCAGTATATGTCTAAGTTTGCACCCCTTCTCCTCCTCCTCAAAGCCCCCCACCTGCTCATGTCCTTGAAGGTCCATCTACAAAGCCTCCTCCTCCCCGTCCGACAGGATTTCTTTCCCTTCCTGTCCTCATGAGTGCTTCTCCCTGACCTCTTGGCCACGCTGGGTCTCATCTTCCCTGTGTAGCTGTGCCTCTGGGGACACCTCCAGGCACTCAGCCTCAAATGCCACCAGGAGCCAGCATCATGCAGTCACTCTGGGCTCCCATTCTGACGGTTACCAGGAAAACAATGGGCCCCGGGGGCTACCAAGTTCAACTGGAATAACACAGTCCACAAAAACACTGTTCCATGCTCAACTCGGTGAGTAGCACTGGGGTTTTCATGGGGCCATGTAAGGTGCACCTACTGGTTTCTTCCTGTCCATTGACAAGAGGAGGGGAGATGATCAAAGACACACGGAAACAATTGCTCCAGCTAACTAATTAATCTCCATAACCCGGGTACCAGAACTAAGTGGCTCCTGGCTGCTACTACCAACCGTCGATCTGAAAGGGATCCCATTAGAAGGTCCCAGGTGCCCACAGTCTCCAGAGACACCAAGGTCAATTGACATCCCATAGTTCAAAAGATAATGTTGTGGATCGGACATCTGGAAGTCGAGGCTGGGGTCTTAAAAACTCATTAGCAGATGCATCTAAATGCAATTATCGGTCTCTCCCCCTCTAGAGAGAAGAAGAGGGAGGAAGCGGAAGGACACGGACACAGTGAGTCCAACGGACTGATGGACACACAAACAGCGGTCTCCGGGACCTGAGGCGAGAACTGCCGTGAGCAGCTGCTTTGAAGAGATCACATTGGAAGGACCGGGATCGAATGGGTGGGAAATATGGAATGGAACTCAAAATCACCAACAGAGAGCAGGCTTACTGGTTGGGTAGACACTGGTGGGACTCCCAAGGCCCGATGAGCCAGTAGTCACCTTCCAGGTCAGGGAATAATTGATCATTTAGTATCCACACGGCTGCACTGACCCAGCAACCGTGTTCAGAGGGTCAGGAAGGAGAGGTGGAAACAGGAAGCACAGGGCACAGGGAGGAAGTAGGACAAGTAACGGTCCTTCGAAGGGATTGCAGTGTGTGAGCTGAAATAAGATGCATACGGATTACTGAATGCAAACGTGATGATCCTCTCTTTTATAACAAGTGATCCTTCACTTATAACAAAAAGTGAGAGTGAGAGAGAGAAGACAGTCCTGCATAGAGTGGAGGAAAATGTGGAACAAAACTCAAAATCATAAAAAAGAGCAGGGTCCCAGGTTGGGCAGAGGAGTGGACTCGCTGAGATGATAGCCCTCAGCCACGCTTCAGGCTAGAAATGAGCTCGCCAAACCACAGGCCGTACTATTAGCGGAACACTAAGGCGCAAACACCTCAGAATGACCAGCATCTGCGATCAGGAGGGCAGCCTTTCCGGAGGACACCTGTCAGGAAGGGTTAGGAAAGGGGGCGTGAAACGAGGAAACACAGGAAGGAAGTGAGATGCGACACACCAATAAGTTGATACAAAATGTATACAAATTGCTGAATGGGAATGTTTACCTGCTCTGTAAACCTTCACCCAATTCGCAGTCAAAAGTTTTTACAAACTTTGAAGAGAACAACCTCGGTGAGCCTGACCCGTGTGTGGAGGAACACAGGAATGACAGCCCACAGATACCGCAACAAGCAGCGAGGGCTCGGCTCAGACCGACGGGCGGGCATGCCTGCAACTAGCGCAGAAGCCAAGCAGTGACCCCGAGGCAGGAGTGTCTGTCTTCCTGTTGGCCCACAGGCTCCTCTTCAGGCAAGACTCGAACACAGTCCAGCAGTATGAGGTTAAGGGTGCATAGGAGCGCACATGCGGTGCGTGTGTGTGTGTGTGTGCGTGTGTGTGTGTGTGACTGTGCTGCCTGTATCTTTGCACATCAATGTGGTGGGTGTACATCTGGGATTGTGTGTGTCTGCCTGTGTGTGGTGTGTTTCTGTGCACCTACGTATCCACAGGTGTACGTAGCGTTGCGCATAAACGTGGTGTGTGTGCATTTGTGATTGTGTGGTCTGCATGGTGTGGTGCGTTTCTATGCACCTGTCTATCTTTGCATGTAAGCGTGGCAAGTGCACATCCGTGTACATGTGTGTCTGTGTTTGATGTGCTTCGGTGCACCTATGTATCCATACATGTATGTATCCTTGCACATAAACATGGTGTGTGTACATCTGAGATTGTGTGTGTCTGTGTGTGGTACACTTCTGTTTACCTATGTATTTGCATGTGGATGTTTCTTTGCACATAAATGTGACGGCGCATGTATATGCGCGTACATGTGTGTCTGTTTGATGTGCTTCGGTGCACCTATGTATCCATACATGTATGTATCCTTGCACATAAACATGGTGTGTGTACATCTGGGATTGTGTGTCTGTGTGTGGTACACTTCTGTTTACCTATGTATTTGCATGTGGATGTTTCTTTGCATATAAATGTGACGGCGCATGTATATGCGCGTACTTGTGTGTCTGAATGTGCTACATTTCTGTGACCTCAGTATCTATCAGTGTATGCAGTTTCATGCCACAAACCTCCTGAAAGCAGAATGTTTTCTTGCAACGCCCACTGATTCCAACATGCAGGAGGGAGGGCCCTGGGAGGGCCACCAGAGAAGGAACCAGCGTCTGGCAGTGTTTACACGAAGGGAAAACGAGAACTGCCTAAGCCTTTGACCAGACAGGCTGTGCTTGGAAGCGCTCGGATAAATCACCCACAGAGACAAAGCAGGCAAGTGGGGAGACACGGCGCTCAACAGCACGCAGAGGACACTGTTTGCACGACAAGAGCGGGGACAGGCGGGCAGGGAGCCTCTCCTTGCTGGACCTCGCTAGGCATATGCATGGCAGGACACCCCGAGTTTTCACTGCTCTCTGCATGTCCACAAATTACCACCAAAGCATCACCAGCGCTGATAAATCTTAGCAAGTCCCTGGATTTGCAGGTCCCGGACCGGCCAACGAGGAGAAACCACTGCACCTCTACAACATCCCAAGCATTCACAGCAACACAAGCATAATCAACACTTGTTCAACACTGATTAGGGGCCGGGCGCCTTCCAAAATATCCTACTCCCGGCGGCCGGCGGACAGTGGCCTGTGACTCACGGAGAGCCCTGTGTCGGAGTGGAGCTGTGCTCGCTGGGGTCTCCAGTGAGTGAATGTTTGAAAGTCCATCCTGGGCCTTTCTTCCCACGCGGTGATGTGTTTAGCACAGCCCCACCCACGGGCTCGGGAAAGAGGCAATGAAGGGGCCAGAAGAAGCGAGCTCTAGAGATGGGGTCATGTTAAGTGGAGAAGGCTAACTGGGCACAGGTTCCCATGTCGATCGAAAGAGGCAACAAGAAAAGGTCCAGAAGGAATTTAGGAAGGGGTGGAGTGGGCAGAAAAGTTTCCTTAGTGGAACAATGGTCTCTTTTTCTTCCTCTTAATTTTCCACTGCATCGTTCTATCTCATGAATCCCATAAGCCGGGAGGAAAGGCTGATCTGTGCAATGGATTATTACTCTCCCGAGAAGGTCCCCACCACCTTCACCCTGCTCTGTGGGCCGAGCCTGCCACTCCATCCACCACAGGGCAGGGGCCAGTCCCCTGTCCTTGAGTCAGGGCCATCCTTGGTGGTGCTGGACCAGGTCCACTGCAGGCCCGCTAGAGGCCTTCCCTTTCGGAAGTCGGCTGCCAGGAAAGAGTTCCTACTTGCCCGATCTCTCCCTGCTGAAAGGTGGCTCAAACCAGCCACGTTAGTAGGCCACACAAAGGGGAACATTGACGCACGTGGCAGTTTTTGTTCACCGGCTGAGCCTCCTCTCCAATCCCAAAGGGGAATTCCTCGGGGGCCAGGATCTCCAGGGCAGGGTCGGTGCTGACACCACCAAAGCTCTACAGGGACACACACCACTCAATTGCACCTGCTAGAATGGGGACAGACGGCTAACCTCAAGGAGACCTGGTGGCAGAGCGGGTTAAGCATTGGGCTGCTAACCACAGGTCAGTAGTTCGGACCCACTGCTCCACAGGAGAAAGAGGAGGCTTTTGACTCCCATAAAGACGGATCGCCTCAGAAACCACGGGGGCAGCTCCACTCTGCCCGATCGTCAGTCAGACAAGACTCCATTGCGGGGAATTGGGTTTGAGTTTGCCTGACCCTGGCTGGGCCTTCCCTGACCCAGGCGGCCTTCCCTGCCCCTCCCCATCCACTCTCCACTGCTGCTAGAGCAAGCTTTCTAAAATGCAAATAGGATTCCCCGGACTGGTGCCCTGAGCCCTGACTCAGGGAGGGCCGGAAAACTCTAGGCAGGAAAAGAGGTCCGCACAAGCTTGGGGCCATCCCAGTGACTTGACTGACCCAGAGACAAGTAAGAGGTACAGAGAGGGGGCGCCCCATGGCTCGGTCTTGACAGGCATGTACCAGCCCACCCCTACCTGCCCCAGGGTGGAATTTCAGAGTCTGGGGTGGAGAAGCCAACAAATATACCTGGACCCCACGTAGAGTACACTCCCCAGCAGAGGACAGCTCTGAAAGGACCATCCTCATGGGGCTTGGCCAAAGCAGAGCAAAGGAAAGCCCACACACATAGGAAGCATTCGGTCTGTTTCCTGTGGTGAGCTGCACTTTCTGACAATTACCGCTTGCTCCTGGGGTGCTCCCAGGTGAGCAACGGGGAGTGGGCAGAGCTCGTTCAGGATGGCACGGTATTTCTGTAGTGGCTGAATGTCACCGTTAAGGAAGGGAGGATCATGTCACCTCAACTCTGATCCTAGGAACTGGCCGATGCGGGCACGGCCCCCTAGCCCGCCCTGAGAAGCAGGGGAAGGACCCCCATTTACCATGGTGATGCCGAGGCTCCAGACATCAGACTTGACATTGTAGCCCTTCTGGTTCAGCTCTGGATTGATTCTTTCTGGCTGTTGGGGAAACAGGGAGTCGTGATCGTTTGTCCCACGGTGTAAGGGGCTAGAGGGGTCACTCGTGGTTCTCTGAGCCTTGCTCCTCATCTCCCAAATTAAGGATCCCACTGCATCGTGTGACAGGCACAAAGGCTAGGGCCAGGAAGGGCCAGGGTCCTACAGTGAAGGTGAAGCCTGGTGCCCAACACTGCCTGCAAGAGGGGCTGCGGCACCCACTGCCTCAGGGTTGGAAGGGGCAGCAGCCACACAGCTCCTGGAGGCAGCATCTCCCCGTGTACGGGCCCACATGGCACACAGGGGCAGGTGAGGGTGCAATAAGGGCATGTGAGGCAGGGGTGGCACGCCCTGGCCAGGCGGACGGAAGTACTCACAGCCATGTAGGGCTTGCAGCCTGCATCCATGGTCTTCGCCAAGGAGTCGACCAAATAGCCACTGATTCCAAAGTCGCACATCTTCACGTGGCCTTCCTTGTTGATGAGCACGTTGGAGGGCTTCACATCTGCGGGGACAAGGCAGGTGGTCTTAGCAGGCGTCCACAGGACCCTCCCTGCTGCAGGGGTGGCACCCCATTGGGCCAGACTACACCAGGCCCTACGAGTCCAGTGGGCAGACATCACCGACAGCCCATCCACAGGCAAGGGCCTTAAGTGTGTCGCCTGCCTGGGTCACAGAGTGGACAGTGGCACAGCTGGGTCAAGAGCCAGGTGCCTTTGATTTTACTACCATCAGGCTCTGGAAGTTAGGGGTCCTCCCAGCAGCACCCATATGGCCCAGGAGACCCCAAGACATACAGGTGCCCAGGTAATGCTGGGCACCATAGGTAGCATAGCCAGAGGGGGATGACACCTGGACTGGACATTGGGCTCAGAACCTGATACACGCATACCCCACCCCTCAGCCCCCGGCACATCATACAGAAGCCTCTCTCGGCCAGTTTGCACACCTAGACAACGAGAGAAGCTCACCTGCCCAGGAGATGTGAGTACGACAACGGACACCAGTGGATCACATTTGCTCCTGCACCCTTCCCACCATGAGACCCCACCCCTCACCTCCTACCTCCTGGGCCCCCCTAGGAGACCCTTGCCTCATCCTGCTCTGTGCGGGCCCCTGGGGACCCTCCCCCCCTGCCCACACATACCTCGGTGGATCACGGAGAGTTTGCTGTGCAGGTGCTCCAGCGCCCTCACGATCTGCATTGGGGAAACAGACGGGGGCTATTTCTGGTGCACCGACAAAAACAGAGCCATTGCCTTAACCCAAGCCTGTCCCCTCTCCCCAAGCACACACACTCACGCCTAAGAGCCATTCCCACCCCCAGGAGTCCCAGGGCCAGCAACATTCCAGCCAGGCTCTCCCCAGGCCACAATGGACCCTCTGTAGCCTCCGGCTCCTCTCCCCAGCCCTGCAGAGCCCAGTCGACTTGCTCGGAGACTTGCCCACAGCCCTGAGCACACCAGGAGGGAGGACCATCAGTCCCCTCCTGCTGCGGCTTCACACGCTGTCCGGATGCTCACTCCCCGAGGACAGCCTGTGTCCTGGATGCTAACCTCTCCCCATTCGGCAATGCTTTACCGGCCTTCCTGTTCCCTCATCCCCGGTCTACCCCTCACAAACACAGTTCCTTCTGGGAAAACTTCCTAGTCCTGGGAAGATCGGGAAGGAGTCCTCAGGGGTGGGGTGGGGTGGGGGACAAGGGTGGGGGGCAGTGGCTGTGAACAGGAAAGCTCAGGGAAAGGCTGGCGATTTGAGCCCACGGAGAGAGAGAGGTGGGGAAGCCAGGTAGACCCCTCTTCAGGTGACATGCCAAGCCTAGGTGGTCCCAGGACCTCCTCAGCAAGCACCTCTGGTACAGCTAGGGACCGAGAAGTATCAGGCCAGATCCAGGTGCTGCCAGCTCTCGGTACCCACTGGGGTGGGGGCAGGTGGGTTGAGGTGGGGGGCAGTCCCTCATCATCACTTACTGATACCGCAATCTCTCCCAGAATGTCCTCTGGGATTGTCATGTTCTTCTCCAACACCTTCCGGTAGAACTTATCCAGGGAGGTGTCCATGAGCTCCATGCAGATCCACACGTCCCCCTGGAATGGTAGACGCTCGGGCTGTACCCTGACCCCTACCAGCCCCAGCCACGCCCACCAGATGGAGTCCCCCTCCCTGAGCCTTGGCCAGCACTGAGTGCCACAGCGAGTCCTTCACCTTGCTCTCACACCGTCTCAATTCACCCCACCTCTGCCCCCCACACCTGGCTATACACACTGCTTGGCCCACACTCGAGCCTCCCCGCGGCTCTGCCACCTCTGGTCTCCCTCATCAGGTCCCTAATTCCACGGCATTCTCCAGGGAGACGCAGGAGATTGCAAGCTGCCGCGTCCTCCAACAAGGGCTTCCGGGGCCAACCGAGCCAGCCCCCTGCACCTTCTCTCCTTCAGCTCAGACCCAGGATCCCACCCCCCAATGTCTCTTTTCGTGGACCCTGTGCTGACCATCCCCCTCACTTCAGCGCAGACCCAGGACCTGGCCCTCTAGTCCTGCCCACAGCAGGCCCTGCACCCCTCAAGACCAAGACCAAGACCAAGATCAAGGCCATCTCTAGCTCGGACCAACACCCTGTGCAGAGTACTTGCTGTGGACCAGGCCTGTGCTAGGTCATCTACTGTGGAGGGCGGCTGGAGAAGGAAGTGATCATTACTGGCCACAGTTTACAGATGAGGAAACTGAGGCAGAGAGCTGTAGCCAGATGGGAAGCCAAGAATCTAGCTTCTACGAACCAACAGGTTCTGTCTCTGAGAGGCCAGGGACCCACACACAGTAGGTTTTCTAAGTGGGCAAAATAACAGTCGGTTGCAGGCTGGATAGACAGTAGGGTCAGGGGGCCTGTGAGTGGCCCACCCTCCCCCTCTCTTTCCCACCCACTACACCTGCCAGTCAAAGCCATACCTCTCTGAAGAGGGCCCCATAGAAGGTGACGGTGTAGAAGCAGTCAACTGTCCGCATGTTGATGTCCAGGTCCATGAGCAGCCGCTTCTGTTCCTGGGAGTTCACGGTGGCTCGGATCCGCTGCAGGGAAGGAATGAGTAGGGCTCAGGAGGCCAGCCGCACTGGGGCCAGCAGCGAGTCCTGACAGCCACTGCCAATGGCCCTGAGAAGCTCTGTCCCATAATGGTTCTGATGTAGGACAACCACTCAGCTGGGAGCCAGTCACTCATCCACGGAAGGAAAGCCCAGTGGTCTCAGAGCCTGGCCCATCCAAGCAGCCCTCCTAGGCAACTCCTGGCTCCAGTACCCCCCACCCCACCCACCCCTCCTCCTCCAGGAAACCTTCCCAGGCAACCCCCAGCTTCAGTGCTCCCCAGCAGGCAGGGCAGGGCAGGGATGGGGGTGGGGGTGGGGGGTGCTCACTTTCACAGCCATGATGGTGCCACTCTGGGCATGTCGCACCTTCTCCACTACCCCATAGGCTCCACGGCCCAGCTCCGAAATGGTCACCAGGTCATCCGCCTCCACCTCGAAGTTCTTGAGGGAGAGAAAAGGGAGCGAGGGCTGATGGGAGCGCCATGGAGATAAGGGACACCGTTTAAAGAGCTGCCCCGTCAGGTCTGGGCTCAACCCTCTTCCCTGGTCATGTCCCGGCTGCATGGCCCTGGGAGGGTAACTCTGCCTCTCTGAGAACTCCACCCAGACACCAACATCGACCGGGCCGCTACTAGGCTTCAAGGAAAGCTAGCCATGCAAGCCACGCCCTGGTGTGGGAAGCATGTCCCTCGTTCTTCCCTCCAGCCCTCACTCAGGCCTTTAAATCAAAGCATGCCTTCAGCTAATAGTTCCTGCGCAGCTGCAGCATGCAAGCCCCTACTTTAGACCACGGGGCAACCACGGAGAGGAAGAAAAGGGCCCGCCCTGATGGAGGCTGCCCCTCTGAAGCGAGAGATGGAGAGAGAAGCGGCAAAGCACTGAAGAGTGCCAGTTAGCACCGCGCTAAAGGGAAGGGAGGTGGGGGATCGGTGCAGCGTGGCGACTGTAACGAAACAGTGCAAGCCACCCTTCTTGGTCCTTGGCATTCCCACAACCTCCCCTGCAGGCGCATCCATGAAAGGAGAGAAGCTAGTCTGCGGAGCCTATACATGGTGCAATTCTGTATGATTCTCCTGGACAAGACAGTACTACAAAGACAGTAAGGAGGCTCTGGGTGGTGCTAACAGCTCACGTGTTTTGCTGTTAACCAGAAGGTCGGTGGTTCGAGTCCACCCCCAGGCATCTCAGAAGAAAGGCCTGGAGAGCTACATCCCACGAGAGCTTACACCAAAACATGAGACGCCATGAAAGGGTGCGCAGAAGGGCTTCGAAACACATACACCCTGTCCATGGACCCAAGAAGAAGTCAGGACCCTCAACACACCCGTAACATGTGAAAGGTAACCCTAAATCCCCTCAAAAATGAAAAATCCCAGACCATGTGGCTTTACTGGGGAATTCTACCAAACATTTACAGAAGTGACTTCAATCCTGCTTTAACTTTCCCAAGAAATAAAAGAGGAGAGAAGGGAATACTACCTAGCTCATTCTAAGGCAAGCTTTAGCCTAATATCAAAGTCAAAGACATCACAAGGGGAAAAAACAAAACAAAACAAAAACTCTGTAGTCCAATATCCTTTATAACATAGATGTAAAACTCTTCAACCAGATATGAGTAAACTGGATCCAAAAACTTAGGATAAGGATTTTGTAGTGCATAATGATGAAGTGGGATTTATCCCAGGAACAGAGCGTGGCTGAACAACCGAAAATGACTGTAACCCAAGACATTAACAGAACAAAGGAAAAGAACCACCTGATTATTTCAATCGATGAAGAAAAAAACATCGAACAAAATTCAACATCCTTTCATGACTAAAAAAAAACAACTAGTAAGATGGAAATAGACAGGAAATCCTTCAATGTAATAAAGAACATTGCTAAAAGCCTACAGCTAACATCAACGACTAAGCTTTCCCTCCAAGATCGTGAACAAGACAGGGATGCCCCCCCCCCCCTCTCCTGCTCGACACTGTCTGGAAGGACAAATGGCTGGGGAATGAAAAAAAGGGACGAATGGGGTCCACGCTGGAAGGAAGAAGGAAAACTGCCCTTTACTACATGACATGACCTTTTACGTAGAAAATACCAAAGGAGCCACACGAGCATCAGGAGACATCAGCAGCAGTCAGCCTGGTGGCCGGGTCCAAGGTCAACCCACCCAAAGTGGTTTGTTTTGCTTGTTTACCTCTGAAAGCGGAGAAGGAAATTCGGGAAAGAGGATATGGACGATAGCATCGGAAAGAGCAGGGTGGCTGGGTGTGCCGTTAACCAAGGTGAAAGACTTGTACACAGGAAACTGTAAAACGTCACTGAAAAATATACGACAGAAAACCCCGGAGTGGGCGGCCTGGGGGGTCAACACTTCTTCTGTGACATGCGAGCGGGAACTAAAGAAGGAGCCATCATTTGTAACCAGCCTGCCCTGAGGTGACAGTCCTGTTGGGAGGCTCGTCGCCTGGGTCCTCTATACCCATCTGGAGGACACACGTCAGCCACCTCCGGCCCAACCCGCTCTTAGTTGCGCGACTGAAAGTAACCTGAGATGAAGACGTTTTAGAAGAAACATCTTTAGAAGAAACAAGCCTGCAAATGATCTGCCTGGAAGTAAGCAAACGTTAATTATCAGCCTGGAAATAAATGCACATTGTTATGTTGGGGAAAAAAAAATCCTAAGTCGATGGAAGGCCTTTCATGAACTGAAAGGCTTAACGTATTTCAGATGTCAATGCTACTCAAAGTTAGCTCTAACGTCAATGCAATCCCCATCAAAATTCCAACAGCCTTCCGTAAAAATAGAAAAGCCAATCCTCAAATGTCTATGGAAGGCCAAGGGGCCCTGAATGACTAAAGCCACCTTACAGGAGAATAAAGGAGGAGGAGTATAGAGCAGGAGGCTTCCAGCTCCCAGGAAGATTTCCTCTCGGAAACCCTCTACACAAGTTGCTGTGAGTCAGCATCAACTTGGTGACAGCGGGGTTTTCGGAATAAAGCCCTCATCATGAAAACAGCTGTAACAATAGGCACCCGGAGCAACAGAAGAGAGTTGACAGTCTTGCAGGGAATCCACATATCTGCGGTCGGCTGATATTCACAGGCTGCTAAGACAATTCAGAGCTGAAGGAAGAGCGTCTGCAAGAGGCGGTGGTGAGAAAAATTGGGTTTCCACATGCGGAAGGAAAATCAGGATGCA